AAAAAAAAAAAAAAAAAAAAAAAAAAAAAAAAAAAAAAAAAAAAAAAAAAAAAAAAAAAAAAAAATCTGGTAATGAAAAAGAGAAGCAACAGCTGGAAAGGGAAATAGGACCAAAGAGCAACCTGCACATAGTTGAGCACAGATGAGAGAAGCCGGTCAGAGTGGAAAGTGAAAGATCAACAATAAGAGGAGGTAAATTTTTTTAAAGTATATAGTAGGCCAGGCATGGTGGCTCACACCTGTAATCCCAGCACTTTGGGAAGCTGAGGCAGGCGGATCACCTGAAGTCAGGAGTTTGAGACCAGCCTGGCCAACATGGCAAAACCCCATCTCTGCTAAAAATACAAATATTAGCCAGGCGTGGTAATGGGCACCTGTAATCCCAGCTACTCAGGAGGCTAAGGCAGGAGAATTGCTTGAACCCAGGAGGTGGAGGTAAAAGCAAGTGGAGATCACACCACTGCACTTCAGCCTGGCGACAGAACAAGACTGTCTCAAAAAAATGGTAATAAATAAATAAATAAATAAAGTATATGGTAGACTCCCTTTAGATTGTAAATTCCTTGAGGTCAAGAATCTTGTCTTATTCATATTTATGTCCCTCCCTATAGCACCTAGCACAGTGACTAGCATAGTATCATGTGCATAATAGATAAAAAATAGAAATAACTGAATTGAATTGGCCTCCCTGGTGTGGTCAGGGATGGCTGAAAGACACAGAAGAAAGGACTCCTTACAGTGATGGGGAGGGATGGATCTTTCTCTAAAGCCCAAAGGAAAGAGAGACAGAGGTTATTGTAAAGAAGTGGCAGTCCTTTCGGAGGGGGACAGAGAAGTGGTAGGAGGAATGATACCAGCCTACTGTTTTGGGATGTCTGTATTTTAGCAGAGTCCAGATCTGAACGATGCCGTGTCCAGTTTGCAGAGTCCCATTCCCCTCCTCCTGTCTTGTGCCCTTGTTCAGGCGGGGATGTATTTCATGTAGAAGGTAAGGTGCAGCCACTGGCTCTGGGGGAGTCTGTGAAATAATTTCTTTTTAACTTCCCACACTAAACCAAAGCAATTCTTACCAGTATCGCTGGCTAGTGTTTCCAGCCTGGTCAATTATCATCTCCAGAAGGAAGAGATTCAGGCATAGTGGCTAATCCCTAAAATCCCAGCACTTTGGGAGGCTAAGGTGGGAGGATCACTTGAGCCAAGGAGTTCCAGACCAGGCTGAGCAACATAGTCTGAGACCAAGCTGAGCAACATAGTGAGACCTTGTCTCTACAAAAAATTTAAAAATAAATAACTCACTCTTCTACAAGAGGTTAAAAAAAATTAAAAATAAAAATTAGTTGGGTATGGTAGCACATGCCTGCAGTCCCAGCTACTGGGAAGTATGGGGTGGAAGGATCCCTTGAGCCCAGGAAGTGGAGGCTGCAGAGAGCCATGATCTGGCCACTGTACTACTGTCACTGGGCAACAGACTGAGACTCTGTCTCAAAAAAATAACAAGATGAAAGAAGAGGAATCACATTTAGAAAAATCTTTTTTTTTTTTT